TAAAGAAGCTATTACAAATAATACGTAATTTATTTTTAGCGATATTCAATTTTAACGATGTCAGAACCCTTGCTAATAATGCCAAAATGAAATCCTCGCTATAAATTCTACTTATACGGTAGTATTTGTGTAAACAATGAAATGTTATCGAACTCATAATTTTGTAAACGACCACGGTGTATTTACATGTATATTACGATATCCAATTTGATTTGTCAATCAGGACTGTTAAGATGTCAACATTTCGATAACTTTACAAGTTAAACGTGGTGCAGCACAGTTAAGGTTAAAGTAAGGACGCGGGGCCTAATTTGTACGGGAAATGTTTACTATGACGTCACACATAATATAAGGTCTTCAAAATACCACAAAATGAAATTATTTGCTATTTCAAACAGCTGGATATCTTTAAATAACATACATTCTTACTATACCATGCAGTTTTGACATTTGCTAAAATCCCACAAAACAGTATATAAACCATGCATCGATCGCAATGCACTTGTCAATGTGACGTCATCTCGCAAAAATGATGCAGTTTTTACACTGTGAGAGGCTGATCAAGTGCCATTTTATACAATGAAAAATGTCTTTTGTTCTCAAATAAAATATTATTTGAAATTAAGTAAAAGGCCGTTAACTTGGAAGCGATGTCTATTTAAGTATTTTATTTATAAACTGTCTGTACATTCTCCAGACAAGTGGTACTGTCGTGTGTTTGTATGCAGATTCATTAAAAAAGTAATTGAAGGGCCCTAATAAATCGATTAATTGCAAGGGCATACCCTCAATGTCTCTTGTCAAGTTTTTACTCATAAACCAAAGAAGCATTAAAATATTTGAAAAGTGCTGCGACCTCATAAAATTTTGCTACAGCTATATTTAATCTAGTTGACCAACAAAATATTCAACATTCCGTCCAACAAATTAAATTTTAGCAATTAAAAAAGGGAATCTATATAGGTTCGCAGCATTTTTCACAAACTACATATAGTGTTGAAAAGGATTATAAATTAAACTATGATTTTTAGCTTGATTATGCCTTTGCAATATTGGAATTTATAGATGACCTCTAAACTGCAAGTATAATAAAAAAAATTGCTAAAATCATGTGACGTCGACATCACGTGACACGTCTAAATAAAAAAGCTAAATGTCCCAAACATGTAGATTTATACCACATTACATTTTTTTTATTTAAGTTAAGTCCTTAAAAAAATCGCCCGTCTTAAAGAAGTATGCATTTTTTATCTTAAAAAATCGCCGATTTTTCCATTTGTAACCTTAACTGTGCTACGGGGTTCAACTGCTTCAATTATACGGACCCTCTTCCTTTGGGCAGATGGGTTTTTTCGTTTAGTTGGAGCTTTCTTGCTGGTTGATATATACTCATAAAAATATACTTGTTTAAATAGTCTTTGTCTGACTTACATACAATTAATCAATCATAAGGAAAAGATTGTTTTGTATATCATATCAAAAGTCTTTCTTATAATGTTTATCAACAAATAATTTTGATTTTCCATCAAATAAAGACTGAAATTATTACTTTTGAATATAATTTCATATATATACTTCTGAACGCTGTTTAATAGTGTAGTGTAGCTTCTATTAGAATAGCTTGTACTTCGCTATTAACAGTGCGACATTTAACTCCGGACACGACATTTGTCCGGACTTTCGCCAACCACTTTTCCAAAGGTATGTGGAAACAATTTATGTCATCTGATGGGATTTTTTAAAACTTAACACATGAACCAAACTTTACACCTGATTATCTTCTAGGTAAAAAGATATTACACCTGAAATCAAGAAATCCCATGGGATAATGGTGGGATTTTTTCTCCTAACCAATATCCCACCATTATTCTGTGGGAGAAAAAGGTATTCTGTGGGATTTTTTCTCCCATAGAAGTTTGAAAATCCCATAAATGCTTTATAATGGGACAAAATCTCCCATATATTTGTATACAGAAAATAATCTCCCATCTCTTTGTAAATGTGGGATTTATCCCATATTTATTTCAAAATAGAAAAAAATTCTCCCATGGGATTAAGAAACAAGTTTTAAACCAAATAAAGAAAATATTGAACAGTTTAACTACCATTATTTATTTATTTTCATTTAATTTTCTGTGTTTCCTACACCATTTTTTTTATTTCTTAAAATTAACCAATTTGGGGGGCAGTGGGGTAATGTTTTATTAATCAAATGATTATATATTTTACATGAAATAGCACTAAAAATCAAAAGTGGTTTATCTCTATAACTTTCAGTTTTTTTAATTCAAACTAAAAAGACAATTTCCTTGTAATGTAGATTACCTTCTTTTATTCCTTGTATGTAAATTTTGAATGAGAAAAAAATGCAATTAAGAAAGAACAAATCTTTTTTGTTTATTTTCCTCCTAATCATTAAGGTTAATTTATTGCGTAAGTGTCATTTGTCAAGCTTTACAACAAGATCAGATCCATATACGTTGTTAGATCTTTGCCTGTTTGCTGCACTAAACTGATGGGTTTCCAATTAAAAAATCACATGAAATTGGGGCGTGTCATTCACTCTGAGATTCTCAAAGAGTTTTAAAACTTATTCAGATGAACAAACTGTAATAATTTACCTATTTTTTACTCTAAATTTTCTTTGTATGATCCTGATCATGCCTTGTTTTTGTTCCAATGACAGCTGGAAATTATTTTACACATAACGAACCCGATCTGACAAATGAACAAGAAATAATGTTGAAAAAAAAAAATCAACCGTCTTCATTATGCACATTTACTGGTAGTTTGCATTAAAAATATTTAAAAATTTTACCTTTTCACTAATTTCAAAACATTTTACCTACACCTTAATTAGAAACATTTCCATAATTTTTGACAGTTCATTGAACCCGTTCAAAAATAAACATGATGAAAGAGCATGTATCCAAAAATTGCGGTGGTACTCTACTCAGTGTTTCTTATCATCCAGTAGAAGACATGTTTTCCTTAGTTCTGTTACTTCTTTAATAAAAGCACACTGCTGATCTTTTACTTATTATTTTTGGTACATAAAATAACTATATGCACCCTTGACATGGATTCAACTGATAAGTCACCTTAGGCCATTGCAAGTTTCTTCTTTGTTTAACAACTGTATGCACCTTGATTTTTGACACCCCAAAACACATAAAATAAGAGATTCAGACCACAGTTAGTTAAAGCTCACTGTTAATACTAGCACGGATGCAAATATAGCAGAATGATATTGGGTATTAAACTTTTACTTCAGCAATCTACATGTAATTTAAATAAGATGTTAGACCCGCACGCATACTCGCTAAACTGACTGTAGTGACTATGTGAGCAGATCTAACATCGAATTTTAACTAGATTGGTACTTCAGTGGCTTAAATTTATTCAACTTCTTTCAGGAATTCAATTTTCTTGTCATAAATGCATATTGTCAATTATTATGCTTCCTGTCAGTTTGTCTCTGTGACATAACCCATATACCCTACTATTCTTGCATTATGTTCTTAGGATTTAAATACACTGTAGCATAAACATACTATGCCGAAATAGTGCTCGACTATGGGTGGCACTGCACATGTAGCTCTCCCGTCTGTCAATATATATTATTTCGGAGAGCTACAGTGCAGTACTTAACACTTCAGATGAAAAATTAACATTCAAAATAATTCTTTTAAAATAGTTTCTTGCAACCCCCCCCCCCCCCTTCAGTCAATTACTATTCTCTAAAACTATCTGTACATTATACCTAAAGCATGGAAAGTTCAAAATTAAAGAAAAAGATTATGACGCACGTTGCACAAGGTGACATTATAATAGGGATGCATGATAATAACATTAGTGTAGTATTTTGCATGTACTATATGCCTACATGTATTATAGTAGTCAGGGGTTGACACATAGTGCACTCGCACCATGTGTCAAACCCTGACTACATTTTTCTTTTTAATGAAATATAGTTAATTAACAAGGCTTTCTTTTCATTCAATTCATGGAATCCTGGGGGTGAATGAAACATTAAGTCTTATTTGGTCGTTAGACTTGTTACTGGAGTATTTATTTTTTTAATTAACACATACTTTAACGTCTAAAATAATCTTTGTTGTAATATTTGAGTTTATAGTATGATATCATCATAATTGTTTTAAATGGGTAGGGGTGTTTTCAAACATTGACATAAATAAATCAATATAGATTATAGAGAAAGTTTGTATTACTTCTATTAATTCAAATTAAATTGTCTCAAAACCCCAACACAGGTAAAGTTTGACATCTGGGTATTTCACTGTGTATTAAACCACTTCCTGTGTATAGGAATTAGGTGACAGATGGCCACAGGTAGACTGGTAGCTCCCACGGCATTCACACCTGTACAAAATAAGCCCCTCCCTCACCTGGAATTTACCACCCGGTAAAAAATCTGTGCCTTTAGGCATAGTGCATGCAAAATAAAACACTATTAAATAAATATGCACACATTAATGAATTCCCTAGTTCATTTAATAAAGGTACACATCCCTTCATTTTACATTTAAGGAAATATGCAAGGTATCTTACCTACTGATAATTTTTCAAGAAATTCTATATTTAAACTTATATAATACATGTACCATATGACATATTTTTAGACAAAAAATCAGCATGCATTTCCAGGGATTTTTGAAAAGATATTAAAGTTTGAAAATTTTTGCATTATTCAAAGAAAAATGTACAAAAATTACAAAACATAAATTCCAGATTTTTTTTTTCATCAAAACTGTTTTAGAGGAGATTTACAAATCCATATATAGACAATAAAAATATTGCACACAGGTCCTTCCTTTAGTGGAACTATTGAACTCCAGGGAAGAACCCAATAAAGTGCAAACTACATTGCGCATATGACCTTAAATGCCTGTTTATCAATTATGTAAGAGAAAAATAAATTAAAGAACTTGTTCTAATTAAAATAATGAAAAAAATCCTTATTTAAGCCTTTAAGTTTTATTTCTAATTAAGAAATTTGACAGATGAATAAAAAGAGTAATATACAATATAATACTTATTAAATTAATTCTCTAACTTAGTTCCATTTAGATATTCAATATTCAAGTCAACACTCTTTACATGAATGAATTATCAACAGTTTTGTCCTTAAAGTTTTCAATGGATCCACAGATCATGAGATGATGTCTCCTTTTATGTGTATGTATATATCTGTGTATACTGAAAAAAAGAAAGTTGCTGTGTGATGAAAAGGATAATAAAGTCTCTGATGAGACTGTAGCTCTACTGGTCTGTATGCATAACAAAGAAAAAGAAGCACTTGGATTTGAAACTTTGCAACAGACAGCATTAAATAGAATTATGTATCTAAGTGTAGTCTATTTGTGTGCCACATTAAATTGAAATCATACCAAAATTGTAGGTGGAGTAGTGTTTTAAAGGAATTTTTATACAGAAATTTCTATTTTTAGTAACCATGGCAGCACCGTTCATTGAAATTTAAAAAAAAAACAATGCACTATGTACCTTAGTGCAGTCTACTTGTTTGCCAAGTTATATTGAAATTAGAATAAAACAGAGGAGTAGTGTTTTGAAAAATTACAGACAGATGGACAGCTAGACAACTAGATGCTACGGACAGACAACAGATGGACAGCTCGACGGACGGACAAAGTGACACCTTCCTATCGCATAAGCTCTTAAGAGGCCCATGGGCCACATCGCTCACCTGAGAAGCTTTGACTGGGTGATGCAATTCTTAAGCATGGGTCTTAATTTGGACAATTTAAATTCCCTATTGTAGCCCCGCCCAACTCCCAGGGGTCATGATTTTGATACAATGTATGTTCTATTTTACTTAATAATTTACCCAAATTTTCCAATAATTTAGAATCTACACTACCTCAGGATGCTTCCACATAAGTTTCAGCTTTTCTGGCCCAGTGGTTCTCTTGAAGAAGATTTTTAAAGACTTTTCCTATAGTGTTGTTACGATAGTCGCCGACTATCGAAAAATCGTCGTTTAAAGGCCCAGATCGGCGACAATCGATTGTAAATATTATCTTCGATAGATCACTATATTTTTCATGCCGTATTTTTTAAGCCGATCAGGTTTAACTTTTATATTCACCAAAGGGACATCACTCTAATCGGCGGTAAACAAAATGGCGAACGTGCATGGTGAAGAGGTTGACGCCTAATTATATCAATATCCTGGTGCAACACGATCTCAAGTTTGAAGTTTTTTGGCTTTCTGAAACAGGGCGATGGGCCTCCATGCAAAAATAATTTACAGATGGACTCGGTTATTTGTAAATTGTGTAAAATGTCGTATGCCAATAAAGATAAGTTGAAGTTCGCGGTCAAATGTCATGGAATTCTACTTCTCGCTGAATTAATAAATCTAACATTTTTAATAGTTCAAATTATCGATTATATAATCGATTGTGTTCGTCCGATTCAATTTGATAATCGATAGTAAAATTTGTCCGATTTTACAACACTATTTTCCTATATATTTCTATGTAAAACTTTGATTCCGTATGTGGCCCCGCCCAGCCCCTAGGGTCATAATTTGAACAATTTAGAACAATTTAGAATCTACACTACCCCAGGATGCTTCCACATAAGTGTCAGGTTTTCTGGCCCAGTGGTTCTTGAGAAGATTTTTTTTAATGACCCCACCCTATTTTTGTCTTTCTTAATTATCTCCCCTTGTGAGAGGACCTGGCCCAACAATTTAAATTCCCCTTCACCCAAGGATGCTTTGTACCAAGTTTGGTTAAAATTGGCCCATCGGTTCTTAAGAAGGAGTCGAAAATGTGAAAAGTTGACAGACGGACAAAATGTGATCAGAAAAGCTCACTTGAGCCTTCAGCTCAGGTGAGCTAAAAATTATCAAATTTGATTTTTTTCAATATTAAAGAAATAAAACTGCAGAATTCAATTGTAAATGGTTGGTTGCGTATTAATTATTCAAAGTAGTTTTTGTTGTATGGTTTGAAAAATTTTATTATATTGTATTCCTTAATTCTTTCTATTCTCACAAAGAATTACCTTTGCATTTCTTGTATTTACAAGGGGGACAAATCTTCAAGGTACATGTACACTATATGTCAGTATATATATCTTCATTTTCTGTTAAAGGAAAAAATAGAATAAATCATACAATATCAATTACATGTATAATAATTAAGCATGGATTAAATTTTCACCAAATTTAGAAAATGAATTGAACATGTTGAGTATCAAACTATCAATTTATCAAATTTCTCAATCCAGCCAAAATGACTGACACTAAAATTCACCCTAAGAGGACAAAGTACAAAATATTAATTATTTTCATCTCTAAATATACAATAAATGAAACTTTGTGCATGTTCTGCATACAGTTAGCAGTATCTGTACTATAGTAGTTTTATGCCCTTGAGAATTTTTCATGATGTCAGATGATGCCATATTTCCATGTCTGTTTTTATACGCCTGTCTTAAGACGGGATGTATTATGTTATACATGTATATAGGATTCATGTTCGTCCGTCCATCTGTTCATTCGTGTCCGGCTCATAAATTGAATACTATTAGGCCTAGGATTGTCAACTAATACTTCTTGGTAGACGGTGTGACACACACAAAAAGTCGGTTGCTCTGATCTTTAATAAAAATGCTATGGCCAAATATGAAAAACCCTGTACAGCCTATTTCAAGGTCACTGTGACCTCATAGTTGCTTGTGTTAATTAAGAGTTCTTGATGGCTATATTCCAGATAAAGATCTTTCATTTGAATTAATGTAATTAAAAGAAATTAATGTTTTAGTGTATGATGAAAACTATATTAGTATTGTATAATATAATTAAAGCTATTTATACATGATTGTGTTCATTGAAAAAAAAAATTACATTTCAATTTTTATATATTTGCAACAAGTTGCAGTCATATCTCACTTAGAATTTTATAGTCTAAAGAATGATTTATTTTTTATTTTTTTATTAGACTGTAGCATTTCCATTATTTCACAAAATATTCAATATTTTAAAACAATTTATAGCTGCAGACAGATATTTGTTAAGCTCTAACACAGCCAGTTTATAATTATATGATGTATTATTAGTTATAATTAATCCCTACACTGTAAGTCTCTTGGAGATGTATGTACATGTACAATATTTTCAACATGATAAGAAATGGAAATTAGATCATTGAAATCTGTGTCAATCTGTTAATCAAGGTTACCTGATTTTCTTTCACACTAACCAATTTATGATTATTGAACAATATTTGACAGACATATCATGCTGTGGCTGGGCACTCTATTTTAAATTTCTCTGTGGTAACTCTTTGAAAGTTAGGAGAGTTGATTTCTTAATAATTCTATGGGAATGTAAATTAGGCAGGTCGATAGGTCAGGAGCTAAGAAGGCCTAATATTCATGAAAATCTCATGTGCACCCATCTCTGTGTCTGACGCGTAGGAGGCCAAATATGCATGTAATTCTTGTGTGGCTACCTTTGTGTTTGAAGTCAGTGGGCGATGACTATTGAAATTGGCATGGGAGTCCTTGTGTAATTTAAATCTATGCTACATTAACAATGCAGGTTATACTGCAACATTCATGAAAAAAGTGAACTTTATTTCTTAAATATCCAATTCCCTATCAATTCTAATAAAAAATCATATTATTAGTAATAAAGCTAGAATGTTTTTTATTTCATTTCAAAGTAATAAAAAATATTTTTACAAATAAATATGTAAAATAAAAAAGTCTTAGCATTTGTGTCTTTTATTATTTACTTACACATAAGGATCAACATGCACACAGATGTACAATTTTCCCCTCAAAAGTACATGAAGATAACTTAATAATGATATTCCTAAGTATGTATTCATGGTATAAAAATGAGTTTAGCAGTTTGGAGATTGATTTTCACTCAAAGTTTTAAGACTGTTCTTCAGAGATTAAAAAAAAAAATTTAATAATTGATTATATCAATAATCATGTGGGTACATGTCTTATGTAAACTTCAGAGGATCAACAAACTTTCTAACAGAGATTAAGTAATTTGATATTTGGATACTTCCAAACAATATAAGTAAGAGTTTTTGGGGTTATTAGTTATGTCCATCATGACATGTAATAATCATTAAAACACTGACCCCCATATTATATCTCAAAAATTATCTTGACAGCAAAAAAAAAAAAAAAAAGAAGAAGAAGAAGAAAGAAAAAGAAATAATATTTGCAACACACGCAATGTTTGTTAATCCCTATAGTACACTACAGTAGTGGGATACTTTTAACCATGTCTGAGAGAAGATAAGAATTAATTTTCTAATCAGTAATGCTAATGACTGTAATCAACAATGATCAAGATACTTATAAACTGTAACTTGCAAATTACAAAGTTAGACATGACAATATATTTCTAAGTACAATCATCAGCTTGTGTACACATTCAAGTCATTGAGAATATTCGAACGAACGAGTACTACAACGTAAACATGGTAAATTGTCATTGAGGAAATTCGAACGAAAGAATAATATTCGGATGTGTATACTATTTTCTGACGATTATTTACTTTGTTAACTTGTATGATGTACTACTGAATATCCCCATCGACTAGACTGCTAGCTTTGCAAACACTTTACAGTGACAGAAATTCATAACATCTGAAGACACTGCAAGTCTGTTTATAAAATCAGAGGAAACGGGATGATCTTATACTAGATCTTTAGACTAAAAAAAATCTATGATCCACGCAGTAACATGTTTTTAATGAAATAAATAACAAATTCAATAATTTTAAATCTACTTACAAAAATAGAGCAGGTCTTTGTCAACATCATGTGGAAATTTCCTCTATATCTCTTGTCGCCGTTTTTTATTTTCCTTGGTTGGCATTGGGTAATTCTAGGGATTTAATTAAAAATGCATCCTTCTGCACGGAATTTTTAAGAAGTGAATCCATAGATAGAATATTGCTGCTTCTTTTTATTTATTGGTTTATCTTTTTTTTAATTTAAACAATGCACAGTTCACGAGCAAAAAAAAAAAAAAAAAAGAAATGAAATAAATTATCAGGCCTATTTTTCAGATTTTTGTTACCATGGCCATGGGTAATACCCATGGTAGTATTTACAACAAAAATTTAAATAATGGTAATTAAAATGTCCAATACCAAAAATATTAACATTTTAATATAAATGGGACATCGATCATGATCATTGAGAACATGATAAGGAGGAGGTTAGTGTGTGTGTGTGGGGGGGGGGGGTTAGTCTCTGTGTATCTCTAAAATAAAATGTTTCCCTTGAAACGTCAAGAAAACTTTATTTGCATGGTCAGCGTTTGAAAGTCCAGTCAGCAGTACATAGCCTCAATAAAGCCCCGTCTTCTTTTTCTTCACGGCATTTTGATATATTCATGATCATATTGTTAACCTTCTACATGTATGATGTTCAAAATTGTATCATTCACCAAATATCCTTCATGTGATAATCAATAGCAAGTAACCTATAAAATTTTGTCTCTTCAAATCCCATTTTTGTGAAACGTAGAATGAAAAATTAAAAGCTATTATACGAATATTCATTTTACTTTCATAAACATGATTCAAGAATGAAGTTTATATTTTTAAGGGGGAAAATATACAATTTTATATTTATTGTTTGCTATCAATTATGAATGGTGTAAAAATGTTGGATTTAATTTTTAAATTGAAAATGAAAAAAAAGTTATGACTTAATCAATCCGGAGGTTTAGTAAAGCATGGAGTTTGGTTTTCATGAGATTCAGTTGTTAATTCGACTCTCTGAGTGTTAATATCCCCTGTGTATGTTTTGTTAGTTCCAAGCAAATTGTGACAGTTTTGCTACCTGGGGAAAACAAAAGACTCTTAATTGCCTCTAGGTATATACATACATGTATCATACCCTATCGAGATCTGGGGTGAAGATATTGGATTCTTGGAAGTTAGCAAGGGGAGGGGGGTAGGTTTAACATCAGACTTAAGTTGCTTTATTAGTATTCAAACATTTACCATGTTTATTGCAAAATTAAGAAAAACAGGTTATACTACAGAAGTTGATAATTTTTTCTTTGAAATAAAACTCAGATGACAAATATCAAAAAAAAAAAAAAAATCACATTGAGCTTAACTTAGGATCGACACCCCCGTCCAAAAATATAGTCCCGTCCAAAGCTAAAGCGTTTAGAAGTCAACAGAGTCAATATCTCGAAGTGGGGTCTTGTGACGCGTTTATAAATATGTCCTATTTTTGTTTTTATCAATAATATAAAAATGTATCATTTATAAAATTTCATAGCTTGAACTTTAGTTAAAAGAATATATATGTCCGATCTGGGACACTAATCATAATACGACACTCTCTACAGAGTTATGTCCCTTTCTAGTACGTTAGTTATAGATTTAAAATACTTATGGTCTTTATGTTTACCTGATTTATTTTTTCATCTAAACAATTATAGCCAATGTAACTTTTAATTTAAGAAACTTTGGACGAAAAAAATTTTTTTTGAAAGTTTTATAGAGAAAAATGACAATTTATAGATCATTGATTTAAATTATAGTAAATACACAAAGAGGTCTCCTTAGAACTGTTGGTATATAAAGAAAATAATGTGTACATTATATCATACAACAGCAGTGAACATGTTTTAATGTTATCTTAGAAATCACAATCTCACACTGAAATCGTTCAAACTGAAATAAATGGAATCAAAAATAAATTAAAAACTGCATGTAAAAGATATCACGGCGGAGAATCTACGTCATCGGACGGGATTAGGACACACAAAAATGGAGGACAAATGCTCCGCTTCGACGTAAGAAGTTGATATTTTTGCATTTATAAAGAATGAATATTAAATCAGTATCCTGCCTAAAGTATGCCAAAGAACGTCAACTACAATAGACAATGTACGTTTGCTCGTGATAGAATCTTATTGTTCCAAACACTTCGACACAGTTTGAAAACAAGTGAGAAAAACCCGGGATGTGGGGTACACATTTTTAAAATTCGACCAATTATTCGCATGTCCAGATGTACTAGACATTTTATTCTTCCGCGTTTACACTAGAACTAATATTTTTAAAAAATCCTGATTTTTTAAATAGTTTATTATGCTTTAATTATCCAAGAAAAAAGTATAAATCATTTTGTTTTCAGAAATGATGTAGGGCACACCAACACTAAAACGGATATGGGACACACAATAAGTTACTTTCAAATTGAAACATCGAGCATTCATATCTTAAAGTTTCCATTTAAATGACTGCCGTTTGATAGTATATGAACAATAACCTGTATAACTCATCTTTGTAATACTCATCCAAATACTTGATTCCCTTGGTTTGCTTGTATCCATACAAAAATTATAAGTTGAAAACGCTGGTCTGATCTCCAACAAAAGCTTCCAACATGAATTTTAAATTTTGACCTTTTATTAAATTCCATGTAGAAATTTACCGGTTTTCACTTCTGCAGATCCATAGAAAGAGGGGGGGGTTCGAAGTCCGGAGATTGTGTTTATTTTATGATATTTCTATTTAAAGTTACACGACATCCGCCCCCCCTTGGAAAAAAAACACCCCCCCCCCAAAAAAAAAAAAAACAACACACACACACCTGTACAAACTCACGAAATAAGTTTTTTTTTTAGCTTTGTTGCTTACTTTCCTGATTGTCAAAATAGTTTGGAGTCAGAAAATTCTTTAATTGGAATTCCCTTGGTTTGCTTGTATCCAAACAAAAATTCAAATATTATAAGTTGAAATGGCCGGTCTGATCCTCAACAAAAGCTCATTAGCTGCCAAAATGAATTTTAAATTTTGACTTTTATTAAATATCATATTGAAAGATACTAGTATTTACATGTGCGGATCTAAAAGGAGGGTTGAAGTCCGGAGTCTATGTATATGATTTTACGTACTCTACGATATTTTTGTGTTAAGTAACACGACCCAGACCCAATTAAACACATATAAAATAGCTTTTTGAGGTTGATTGTTTAATTTCTTTGCTTGTAAAAATATTTTGGAGTCAGAACTTCTTTTTCTGAGTTTGTGTGGACACCCCCCCCCCCTTCGAAAAGTTTCTGTATTTGCATATTCAATGTTTGTTTTTATTAGATCTTTGTCGGTAAGAATAGGAAGCGGAGATTAGGGAATTTTTCTTATGCTCAAATATTTGCAACAGCTGACAAACTTCTTTCAAAATTCTAATAGTTAATTACCGACTCCATATATTTGAGAAAAAAAGACAAAATTGAATATTGTACTTCGAAGATAACATCATCGTATTAATTGAAAAAAAAATTATTGTTTTATCATGTGTCTTTCCTGATATACTTTATTTTATCAAATAAAATATACAACATGACTATATGAAGATAGTCATGTTGTATATTTTATTTGATAAAATAAAGTATATCAGGAAAGACACATGTATGAATCAGTGATTAAATATTACGTACTCATAAAGCAGTTCATGTCATCTTATTTACATTCGCTGGAATATTAGCCAAAAGCAATGATAGGAGCCGGCTTAAATAAACATTACCAGCCGTATAAATTGGGATTTTTTTGTTGTAAAAAGTACTTTCGTAGCTATACATAAAAAAGAAATAATGTCAAGCTCTTTTATATGATAAGGTTTGAAAAGGGGGGGGTCATTATCAGAGAAAAATGACAGCTAAAAACCTTTGATTGGCACCCACGAAAAGACAATTTTTAACTTCAAGTTTTGTTTTGGCCCTGCCCATCACTGACAACCACTTTCATACATTCGATTACTAATATTATGTTCACCTGAGTGCAAGCTAGGAGCAAATAAAATAGTTTTCCAAAACTATTTGTTGCAATTTGGAATTTCCCGATCAATTTTTAGACCACTGTGTAGGGAAAATAAATTCTTATTATCACCTGGAAGGTCAGTTGTTGCAAATATTTGAGCATAAGAAACGTTCTTGATCTCTTTCCCATATTAAAAGACATGCTAGTGTCAAAGATCTTATTAATACCAATTTGCAGATTTAAGAACTTTTTCGGGGGGGGGGGGGGGGGGGGGGGAGTCCACACAAAGTCCAAAGAATTTTCTGACTCCAAACTATTTTGACAAGCAATAAAGTAAGCAACAAAGCTAAAAAAACTTATTTCATGAGTTTGTATGTGTGTGTGTGTGTGTGTTTTTCGTGTTTTTTTTCGGGGGGGGGGGGGGGGGGGGGGCGGATGTCGTGTAACTTAAAATGGATATATCAATAAACACAATCTCCGGACTTCGACCCCCCCCCCCCCCTTCCCTCTTTCTATGGATCTGCAGAAGTGAACACCGGTAAATTTCTACATGAAATTTAATAAAAGTCAAAATTTAAAATTCATGTTGGAAGCTTTTGTTGGAGATCAGACCAGCGTTTTCAACTTATAATTTTTGTATGGATACAAGCAAACCAGGGGAATCAAGTATTTGGATGAGTATTACAAAGATGAGTTGTACAGGTTATTGTTCATATACTATCAAACGGCAGTCATTTAAATGGAAACTTTAAGATATGAATGCTCAATGTTTCAATTTGAAAGTAACTTATTGTGTGTCCCATATCCGTTTTAGTGTTGGTGTGCCCTACATCATTTCTGAAAACAAAATGATTTATACTTTTTTCTTGGATAATTAAAGCATAATAAACTATTTAAAAAATCAGGATTTTTTAAAAATATTAGTTCTAGTGTAAACGCGGAAGAATAAAATGTCTAGTACATCTGGACATGCGAATAATTGGTCGAATTTTAAAAATGTGTACCCCACATCCCGGGTTTTTCTCACTTGTTTTCAAACTGTGTCGAAGTGTTTGGAACAATAAGATTCTATCACGAGCAAACGTACATTGTCTATTGTAGTTGACGTTCTTTGGCATACTTTAGGCAGGATACTGATTTAATATTCATTCTTTATAAATGCAAAAATATCAACTTCTTACATCGAAGCGGAGCATTTGTCCTCCATTTTTGTGTGTCCTAATCCCGTCCGATGACGTAGATTCTCCGCCGTGGATATGTTAAATGTAAAGTCTGTGTGAAATGTATACACATGTACTTAACTTTCCTACCAATAAACTCGTATTCGAAGTGTACAAACAGTACATTTCAGATAGATACAGAACTTGTGAAATAAACTAAATAGGGAAACTAGCACTATTGTTTAAAATCAAGCATCTCAGTTTTTTTTTTTTTTTTTTTTTTTTTTTTTTTTTTTTTTATAAATATGTATTGAAATCTTTCGAGATAGTTCAAACTTAGCACTGCACATCAACAAAAATACAGAATAAGAGCAATAGCATGTACTTTCTAAATGTAAAATGATAAATTGTAAGAGGACTGAAATTTTCATAGGGAGAATCCATCATCATGTTAAACTCTGTCAATCGGACTGGTGTGTTCTCTTGAAAGAGCATAACTTTTTTATTCCTCAATGAAGTTTTGCCAGTTTGGTATTATTTTGCTTGCAATAGCATGTACTTTCTAAATGTAAAATGATAAATTGTAAGAGGACTTAAATTTTCATAGGGAGAATCCATCATCATGTAATACTCTGTCAATCGGACTGGTGTGTTCTCTTGAATGAGCATAACTTTTTTATTTCTCAATGAAATTTTGCCAGTTTGGTATTATTTTGCTTGCAATAGCAGGTACTTTTTAAATGTAAAATGATAAATTGTAAGAAGACTGAAATTTTCATAGGGAGAATCCATCATCATGTTAAACTTTGTCAATCGGACTGGTGTGTTCTCTTGAATGAGCATAACTTTTTTTATTTCTCAATGAAATTTTGCCAGTTTGGTATTATTTTGCTTGCAATAGCATGTACTTTGTTAATGTAAAATGATAAATTGTAAGAGGACTAAAATTTTCATAGGGAGAATCCATCATCATGTTAAACTCTGTCAATCGGAATGGTTTGTTCTCTTGAATAAGCATAACTTTTTTTATTTTTCAGTAAAATTTTGCCAATTTGATATTATTTTGCTTGCAATAGCATGTACTTTCTAAATGTAAAATGATAAATTGTAAGAGGACTAAAATTTTCATAGGGAGAATCCATCATCATGTAATACTCTGTCAATCAGACTGGTGTGTTCTCTTGAATGAGCATAACTTTTTTTATTTCTCAATGAAATTTTGCCAGTTTGGTATTTTTTTGCTAGTAATGGCATGTAGTTTTTAAATGTAAATTGATAAATTGTAAGAGGACTGAAAATTTCATAGGGAGAATCCATCATTTTGTTAAACTCTGTCAATTGGAATGGTGTGTTCTCTTGAATGAGCATAACTTTTTTATTTTTCAGTGAAATTTTGCCAATTTGGTATTATTTTGCTTGCAATAGCATGTACTTTCTAAATGTAAAATGATAAATTGTAAGAGGACTAAAATTTTCATAGGGAGAATCCATCATCATGTAATACTCTGTCAATCGGACTGGTGTGTTCTCTTGAATGAGCATAACTTTTTTATTTCTCAATGAAATTTTGCCAGTTTGGTATTATTTTGCTCGCAATGGCATGTACTTTTTAAATGTAAAATGATAAATTGTAAGAGGACTGAAATTTTCATAGGGAGAATCCATCATCATGTTAAACTCTGTCAATCGGACTGGTGTGTTCTCTTGAATGAGCATAACTTTTTTATTTTTCAGTGAAATTTTGACAATTTGATATTATTTTGCTTGCAATAGCATGTACTTTGTAAATGTAAAATGATAAATTGTAAGAGGACTAAAATTTTCATAGGGAGAATCCATCATCATGTAATACTCTGTCAATCGGACTGGTGTGTTCTCTTAAATGAGCATACCTTTTTTATTTTTCAATGAGATTTTGCCAATTTGATATCATTTTGCTTGCAATAGCATGTACTTTGTAAATGTAAAATGATAAATTGTAAGAGGACTGAAATTTTCATAGGGAGAATCCATCATCATGTTAAACTCTGTCAATCGGACTGGTTTGTTCTCTTGAATGAGCATAACTTTTTTATTTCTCAATGAAATTTTGCCAGTTTGGTATTATTTTGCTTGCAATAGCATGTACTTTCTAAATGTAAAATGATAAATTGTAAGAGGACTGAAATTTCATAGGGAGAATCCATCATCATGTTATACTCTGTCAATCGGAATGGTGTGTTCTCTTGAATGAGCATAACTTTTTTATTTTTCAATGAAATTTTGCCAATTTGATATCATTTTGCTTGCAATTGCATGTACTTTGTAAATGTAAAATGATAAATTGTAAGAGGACTGAAATTTTCATAGGGAGAATCCATCATCAAGCCAAATTTCTCTGTTAATCGTAATGCTGTGTTCTCTTGAATGGTCATAACTTTTTTATTTCTCAATGAAATTTTGCCAATTTGGTATTATTTTGCTTGCAATAGCATGTACTTTCTAAATGTAAAATGATTAATGGAAATGACTGAAATTTTCAAAGGGAAAGAATTAAAGAGATAAAAACAATTTCCATTCTCCTGTAGGATAATATATTCTATAAAACATTATGATAGAGAACTTTTTATCCTATTTGTGATAATTATGGAACTTCTTGTCCCATTTCATAACTTATGGGATAAAAAATCCCATGTAAGGTTAAAAATGGGAATTTTGATTCTATAGGAGAAAAAATCCCACAGAACTCATTTTTCTCCCACAGAATAATGGTGGGATATTGGTTAGGAGAGAAAATCCCACCATAATCCCATGGGATTTCTTGATTTCAGGTGTAATATCTTTTAAACTGGAAGATATTCAGGTGTAAAGGTTAGTCCATGTTGTGCGATTAAAAAAATCCCACCAGATGACATAATTTTTTTCTATGTATCTTTGGAAAAGTGGTTGGCGAAAGTCCGGACAAATGTCGTGTCCGGAGTTAAATGTCGCACTGTTTATTGTAAAAAAAAAAAAAACGAAATGTGCTCATAAACAAAAGTTGCTTTTATAGCCCCATAAAAGAAACTGCTGAGTGCATGTTAATAGTGAGAGAAAACAGGGAGAATGTAAATATATGTAAACATATCTTCAGTTCTTTCATCTTTATTAACACAGCTCTTTTTCATATGTATTTTCTTTTCAATTTCTAATATATTATATGTGTCTTAATTAAAAATTGACTTATATTTTGATGTAATATAGTTCCCTTAACTCTGTAAATTTATTTTAACGTATTTCATTTCTAAATATATATGAACAAATAATGTTGTCGAAGGTATTATACATCATTATTGCATAGAGTAGATAACCATTGGAAGATAAATTTGGCAACAATGTGTGTTATACAGATATGCCCCATTAATCAACTTCCTGTTTCGATCTGTACAGTATGTGGATGCACCTGTTGATTCTCCTTTTAAATCTAGAAACGTTAACTTCTAGTATTTTGTTTGAGTACCGATTGCGATGTCCGGATACCGCGGAGAAATGGAGACAGAACTCAGAAAAATATGTCTGTCATGGCGACAAGGTGTATCACTGCATGCAGGACCAAGATGGCCGTTACGTAGTTTTCTGTGCATCCCCTTTTTGGATTCAACCAGGTAGGAATTTGAAAATTAATGATGCAAAGAGTATGTATGACTTCTTTTCCCATGCCTTTTCACTGTCATAAAAAGTTGTTTCAATAAAATATTTACCCTATACTTGTGGTTTTAAATATCTTAAATATTTCATTGTGGTATTTTTCGTTCTGACAAGTGTAGGTCCAAAATTCCTACACAAATGAATTGGCAACAGAATACTAATACATGTAATATATTGACTATGTTAATACAAGAAATATGTATTACAGTTTCACCAATACAATATCACAGACATTTTAAGTTCAACCTCTCGGTAAAAAAACTATTTAGAAAATTTTATATATTTCACGTAAATATGTTCATTCCTCGCAGATTATTGTCCAGAATTTAACGTGAAATCTTCCCAAATTGAAGTCATATTGTGTCCAGGAGAAACAGAAAAATGTCCAGACAGTGATTATCTATCCAACACTGTATATCAATGTAGGTTACACTACCTGTTATCAACATATTCATATATACAGGGAAAAAGTTAATATAGGTCATAAATAAATGATATCTTCAACTAATGTTGATTTTCCGAATAAATATAATTTTTTTTATTAATAAGAAAGCCGCAAATTCGTGGAAAGAGATAATGAAATACTAACCACAAATAGCAAAAATTAATTGAAATTGTTAAATGTATGTGTTTTTTAAAGAACTAAATTCGAGGATTTTTTGTAATTTTAAACATTAAAATTATCCTTGAAAATAATTTTATCATGATTTTATACTTATTTTTTAAAATAAGATCCAAGCTGTTTTCGGACTGTGAGCAGGTAAACCTTTATTCATAATTAGAGATAAGAAATTTGACATGGAATCATATATTATGTTTTTCGAAGTAAAGCTTTTATTGGTTGAATTGAACAACTTTTTTTTCTTAGATCTACGAACACAAACTTTTCTTTATTGTTTTATCATTTAATTTTGAATAAGAAATTTGTTATTCAATAGGGATTTAAATATCTAATTTGAATCATATAAAATTTTTTATTGATAAAAGTCAGCAATATAGTTTTTTTTTCTTCACTGTGCTTAGGTCTACTACACCCACTCCAGTTTCTGATAACGGAACAATAACAAGAGTAACAAAGCTGAGATACACGTAAGTTGTAAAGATTTTTACGAATGAGCGCATTGTTATGTAAAAATAATGCAATCAATAACATTCTTCTTGAATTTCAGTACCACGGGGCAAAGTAATTCGGGTAATGAAGAAAAAAGGTACATGCATTTCCAATATCTATAAAAAGAATTTTTTTTAATAATGTAAACTTTTCCATTGGCTTTTCACTCTAACCCTAACACACCTTAATCAAGATTTAGTTTAAATTCACAGTCAATAAAATAGAAAAATGTTCCAAATGATAATTGCATATAAGGTAAATAATATGTTTTCAATTTTTCAATAAAATTTTCTTTTTCAGAGATTTTACGGTTTCGAGTGGTGTTATTTTGGGGATAGTCTCTGGAATAATTCTACCGATACTTGTTTTCCACCTTTTAATCATCTTCATCCTGAGAAGGAAAAGACAGAAAACATATAAGAAAGGTATTCAACACACATTGTTAATAATTAAGATAAAAATAAATCTTATTTTGTACGGCTTCAATGATTTTTTGGTTTGATTAGAAAAACTAACGAATTGTAATCAGGCTGCAAATCTTTATCTTATTCTGTTTTTAAAGTAACACAATTCATGCAATATAACAAGGCCGCAATTCATCCTAATTTTGTAAGGTCTTTGCAACAACCTTTGACAACGAATTTGTCCGTTCTTAGCGGGGTCATTGGTCAGCAGAATGTGATTGCTTTCCTAGGTACCTGATGAAACCTTTACATTTCGCGTATTATATCAGGAACAAATTTTGTTTTCTTGAAGAGTTTAAGATCCACTACTTCGTTTTACATTCACCCTTTACATTCTCGAGCTATTCTTAAACATTCAAACACATGCTGGGTGTTCACATTTAAAAAAAATTGGGAAAAACTGACATTATATGAAGAATTGATTTAAAACAATGTACATAATCAGAACTACGTAGTTTGTTATTTGAATCGGTGTTGACATTCAATGCAGACAAAAAATTTCAATGCAGACAAAAGGTTAAAAATTGAAAGACTTTTTGATGAAAAAATGAAACATCAAAAGTAAATGATTTAATGGTATAAAAAGTATGGCTGCATCAACAACTAATAGCAGATAATTGGATTCAATCCTTATTACATTTTTATAATTACATGTATAATTATATCAAGTTTTTTTTCCTTACAGAAAATAAATCGTGTGTAAATTATTCAAAACCAGACTATTTGAAAAAAGAAGAAACTGAAATTTCAGATTCAGGTAATCATTACTCAGCTCATAACATAAAGAATGACCATGCTTATAAATATTCAGTCGATTATATTTCACCTAGGCTCTTCTTAGCAGTTTGAAAATATAGCCCAGCTTATTTAATAAACACTGATCGGCTTTGATATGCTCGTTTTCCTTTGTTGACAAACTAATATTAATACACAGAGAATAATCCATTCAAAATCAAAATTTGTATCACACAAACTTAACCCGAGAGTCCAATATCAGGCGAGAGGATCAAAGTTCCGAGGGCTGATATCGGTCGATGGATAATAAAGGATATGATGTAGAAAGAAATATGATTTATTATGATAGATACTTTCTTATTAATAAAATACAACATTGATCAACTTGCGAAGAGCAAGAACTAAAATCATGCACTACTAAGCAAATAGAATAAGTAATCAATTATGAGCTTAATTTATAATATGGAATTAGTAGAGATGAAGAGTACAAAAGCCAGTTATAATAATTTTAGCTCACATGGATCAAAATTTGAAACATAAGCAGACCACTTTAAGAATAAAGAAAAATAAGACATTAAATTTTAAATTGTACATAACGTTCCATTTTAAACACTATGTACAATTATGTATTTAATTATATGGTACTTGTAGGACATATAAGCGCTTTATTGTTGTATTTTATGGCGGGTGTTATCGGTCGGCACAGGACGCTCACTCCCCCATGGCATATGACCCCACCTCTGATGTTTTGAAGGTCCGTGTTTCCTCCGCTCCTATTTTATACTGTTAAATGGACTATTGAGCTCGTATAGTGTAATCTCCAATATTTCATCAATCTGTCCAATATTTTGATACCGTAAAATATCAGGTCTCTACCTTAATGATTTATCTTAATATTTTATTTGGATATTTTTCTTTTCTCTACTCAATTATACTTTTATTGTAAAAGTTATACACATGAATACGAGCTTAAAATATATCCTTCAAAGCACATGAAGGGAAACAAAAGAGTTACAGAAGCTGTATTCAATTCATAAAAAATATATGCATTTAATTCTGGGAGTTAAAGTATATTACACAGTCGATTTCATTTATTATATTGCAAGACATTATATACTTCTTTACAATGTCATATTCCTTGCCTTGCTCTACATTACTCATTGGTAACAATTACGTCGCCCAATAATTTATTTAATATATATTTCTTTTCTGCACTCAACAAGAATTTTTTTTATTGTGAAAGTTAAACATAGAAATACATTATCAAAATATTACCTTCAAAGCATATTATGAGAAACATGAGATTTACAGAAGCGGAATTTAAATCAAAATGCGAATATAATCATTCGATTCTGGGAATTTTAGTTTCTAAGAAAGCCGTTTGTCGCTTTCCTATTTTATTTTGAAAGACTTCAGGACTTAAAACACTTGTATCGGGTAATCAAATTTAGCAATTGAATATGTTTAGTTTTAAAAGAGTTATCTTTCTTTTTTTCATTGAAATAATAAATTGAGTAGAAATGAAAAAAATATAAAATAAACAAACTATTACTTTGTATAACATAAAATATGAAAAACAATAAATAAAGATCCAAGGTACTTATGCGTATGTTCAAACTAGAGAAAATATTATATTTTTTTTACAGATACGCAATAAATGTGTTTATTTTTTCTCTGATATTGTTTAAGGGGCAAGATAATACTCTGCTGGTTATGACACGATATATTTTAGAGAGAGAAAAAAACTTTGAGTTTCTAAAACAATGAATGAAATTTGATTTTTTTTCTTGCAAGGACATGTAAAGCATCGTGTTTTAATAAAAGAATAAGAACAATTATGTTCAAAAGTTCAAAAGATGGAAAAATTCGCCGAACAATATTTCTTCAAGAAAAAATAATTATCATCAATGTTCATTTTTTGTTCAAGAGACAACCCCATGTTTAGAAGATTCAACTAAGGGTACTGATGAAGAACCGAGAAAAGAAGGTAATATTTATCAGGTGAAATATAGTTTAAATAATTGTGTTTAGATTTAAAAATCTGCATGAAATGCGTTCAAAGTACATTATGTACATATTAATCTGCATGGGATTGACTATAAAAACGCTAATGCTCATTGAGAAATGAATCTGAAAAATGGACGGTAAATTTATACAATCTAAAATGATTAACAAAAAATGATATATATTTTACTAGCATGAAATTATAAAACAGGAACAAGAATTTCCAGTGCATAATAATAAAAGACATTAAATAACTATTGAAGTTTGTCAAAGTACATAATATGAGAATAAATTTACATAATAAATTGAACTTTATGATATTTTCTACGGTATGTGCAAAGCACATTGAAACATTATGATCTTCCTTTCAGAAACATTTGTTGTTCCGAGATTATACGAAGATGCAGTTAAAATATTAAGGGATAAGGGGTTTTTAATTATTGTTGGTGGATCAGGAAGTGGTAAGACTACATTGGCAAATCATATACTGAAGGAAAAATTCAAGGGCTCTCATGTACTTCATATGAAACCAAAACAGACAACAATACCTGAAATCAAGAGTGACAGGGATGTAATTGTTGTATGGGATGATTGCTTTGGAATATGGAAGGATTGTGAATTAGAGGAAAATGTTAAGACTAACGTAAGAAATACAATAATCAGTTTGATTGATAGATGTAAAGACGGGAAAAATCACAAAGCCATATTTTGTATCGATTTATCCTTTGATGAAAAATTTTTTATTGACAAATTTGAAAAGAACATTGTCAATCTTTCCGAAAACTACGAAAGTTGTTTTGAAAGAGATCGTTTTAAAAGCATGTTTAACAGAGGAATATACATTGGACACATTTCTAGGGACGTAGGATTTCCTCTTTTAGTTAAATTGATTGTTGAACATCATATTCCGAACGAACAAACCGAAGATTTCGTGAAAATACCTATAACCAAACTAACTAAAAATTTTCATGACCTTTCTAAAAATGAAAGAGATGTGTATGTAACACTTGTTTATGCGCTTTGTAACACTCCCTCTGTGAATCAAAAACACATCAATTGGAAAAATTGGACAAAATTAAAAGTCGAATGTCAGAGTAAAGACACAGACGAAAGCAATCCACAACAAGAATGTAAAGACATAAACAACCTACAACAGGAAAGTCAGGATAAAGACAACATCAACAATCCACAACAGGAGAGTATAGATAAAGACAACAGCCATCAACAACAGGAAAGTAGTGATAAAGACAACATCGACCCACAACAGGAGAGTACTGATAGGGGATTGACTGGCGAATACGGCCAATTAGAGGAAACCAAACACCCTTCTAAGGATTCTAATGCTATTTACAAAAAACTCTGACTGTATTGCAATGAATTCATCCTTAACAAAATATCTAGAGAAAACTGAAAATCGTGATGTTTTTAGATTCCGGCACCATTTTCTAGCGCGTCTTCTTTTGCGTTATCACCTGGAAAAGGTAGGAAGTAAAGGAATAATAGAGGTGGGCAACGAGGAAATTAAGTCAGTTGTCAAGAAATTACAGTCTTCACTTAGTAAACTGAAACCTGATCAACTTGGTGCATCCTTATTCTCTACTTTTTTCAAAAATACTTAGAGACAGTTCTTTTATTTCAGTAAAGCATGAAAATATATGATTTTTACTTCCGAGAAATTATATGCATGGATATGTGTTATATAAATTAATCACATGGTTAGTATTTGTGTTTCAATATGTCCCAGACTTACATAATACTTATATCTTGTACACATACCCTCCTATAGCTAGACAACTGATCCAACCTCTTGTCTTTATGCCCGAATGTCGAATTAAGAAACATTTCGATAAACATTCAATATTTTGTTTCAAGAAGTAAAATTAACTCTAACAAAAATCGGACCAGCTATACTTCATAAAAAGTGATGACAGAATTAATGATTCTGCATTGAAATATTAATGATGACAAGAAGCATACGGTGTGTGTGACTGGTAGGCAGGGGATGCTCATTTCTCCTCGGCACCTGATACCACTTAAGATATTTTGGTAGTCCTTGTTTGCTCTGCTCTTGATTTGAATTATTTGCAATGACATTTGGGCTGGAACATGTATTGATCCTGTTTGTTATTATGACATATCACATTTATTGATGGTAAAAGTTTCCGAAGAAGAAGCTGATCTTTTAGAGGTTGGCTCTGTTCCTGATTTCTTTTGTTTATTGGACTTTTGAGCTCAATACTCTTCGTTATTTCTATATATTTCATCCATGTACTTTATTAAATATTTGTTCCAAAATTAACTATTTTTGATACATAATTAATTATATAACTTTGAATAATTAACGATAGCAAAATACCGGTATGCAATTATGATTTACGGAGAGAGGGGAAAACGATAAATACGATTACAAAAACACTGAATCATGATTTGGATTGCATACTTTACAGATTAAGATAATTCAAGGTTTAAATAGAAAAACTTTCGAGAACACTTTATAAGCCTCACTCCTCTAATGAAAATTTAAAAAAAAAATTTAATATGGTGTTGTCTTGCCTTGCAAAACTAAGCAAACTTATATAGTCATTTTATTAAAATTAATGCCGATGTAGTGCACTGTTTAAGTTTTATATGAATGAGACATACATTGTTTGTGAGAGACTAATATTCATTGATTTCATGGGTTACCCTTAGCCACGAATATACATCATTATGAACATTAATTTCATTCACAGATCTCTGAAAGAATCTATCAAATATTTAAGTAACAATCAGGCTCAAATTTACATCCTCTGTTACGAACAAGCAAAAGTTTGTTTGTCTAGCCACAAACAAGGATCAAAAATTAAAGTGATTCCACAGTAATTAAATGAAAATTTATATTTGAAATTTATTCTAAGATTTTTTTTAAAACATAATTTTAATTTAGAATTAAATAAAAGGGAAAAAGATATAGAAAAAAATAAAAATGTAAAAATGTACCAATATGTTTGGAACATTTTTGGGAACATTACCTTTGAAATAACTATGTCAGTATTCGCACATTTTGTAGGTAATCAATTGATCTGGAAATTAAGGAAATATTTTACTTGGATACGACACAGTGTTCATGATTGAAATCACTATTCTGTATTTCAATTTATGTTTAAGCCAGACATAATCTATAGACGTTTTTAACGAAGATATTTTCCTACTTTCCATCTAAAGCTCAACCCTTACTGACACTGCCTCTTTAAACATTATATAAAATGCCGTCAACATATGTAATTGGCAGTTGCAGGCTACAGCAAGTTGATTTTTTTTCTCGTTTAGAAGATTTTTCAATAAAATCTGCTTGAATTAAAAACATTCGAAAATTTTGGGAAATAATTAACAGATTGTTGGGATCCCCGTATTGTCAATCAGAAATTCAAGTCTCCTTTTTCATATTAACTTCATAGTTCTCGTGTAAACAATTAAATGTTATTGAACTCATAATATTGTAAATGATCAAAGTACGTGTATTTACATGTATATTACGATATCCATTTTGATTTGTCAGTCAGGACTGCGAAGACGTCAACATTTGGTTGACTTGACAAGTTTAACGTGGATTCAGCTGCTTCAATTTAACGAACCCTCTTCCTTTTGACAGTTGGATTTTTTTCCTTCAGTTCTGTTTTCTTTCACTTTAATAGTTACTCATCAAAATATACTTGTTTAATTAGTCTTTGTCTGACTCCCATACAGTGAATCAATCATATGGAAAAAGCTTTCTTGTAAATCATAGCAAACATCTTTATGATAATTTTCTATCAACAAATAATGTTTGATTTTCCATAAAATAAAGACTGAATTTATTATTTTTGCTTAGCATTTCATATGTATACTTCTGAACGCTGTTTAATGGTGTAGTGTAGCTTCTATTAGAATAGCTTGTACTTCGCTAGTGTAAAAAAAAATCGAATTGTGCTCATAGCAAAAGTTGCTTCTATAGTCCCATGAACGAAACTGCTGAGTGCATGTTAATAGTTGGAAGAAAACAGGGAAAATGTAAATATAAAAATATATCTTTTGTCCATTAATCTTATTTAAAACAGCTATTTTTCATTTGTATTTTCTTTTGAATTTCTAATTTGATATACGTGTGTAAATTTGAATTGACTAACATTTTAAAGTAATATTGTTTCCTTAATTCTGTTATTTAATTTAACGTATTTTATTTCTAATATATTTGAATTAACACTGTTGTCGAAGGTATTGTAAATCATTATTGCATAGAGTAAAATAGCCATTGGAAGATAAATGTGGCAAAAACGTGCGTTACACAGGTACACCCCTGTTATCAACTTCCTGTTTCGATCTGTACAATATGTGGATTAACCTCTTGATTCTCCTGGTAAATCTGGACACATTAATCTCTGGCATTTTGTTTGAGTACCGATTGAGATGTCCGGATACCGCTGAGAAATGGAGGCAGAACTCAGATAATTATGTCTGTCATGGCGACACAGTATATCACTGCATGCAGAACCAAGATGGTCATTACGTAGTTTTCTGTGCATCCCCTTTTTGGATTCAACCAGGTAGGTATAATTTCTAAATTAATGGTACAAAGAGTATGTATTACTTCTTTTCCCATGCCTTTTCATTGTCATAAAAAGTTGTTTTAATTTAATATTTACCCCCATTTTGTAATTTTAAATATCTTTTATATTTCATTATAGTATGTTCGTTCTGACAAGTGCAGTTACTAAAATTGCTACAAAAATTAATGGACGACAAAATACTAATACATGTAATATATTGACCATGTTGATACAAAATATTTGTATTGCAGGTTCACCAACACAATATAAAAAACTCCTTTTAAATTCATCCTCATGCTGATAAACTATTTAGAAAATTTTATATATTTCACGTAAATACATAATGTTAATTCTTCCTCGCAGATTACTGTCCAGAATTTAACGTGAAATCTTCCCCGTTTGACGTAATATTGTGTCGAGGGGAGACAGAGAAATGTCCAGACAGTGAATATCTATCCAACACTGTATATCAATGTAGGTCACACTACCTGTTATCAACATATTCATATACACAGGGAAAAGGTTAATGTAGATAAAGTGTTTTAATCTATTGATCTATAGGTAATAAATAAATGGTATCTTCAACTAATGTTGATTTACGAATAAATATATTAATCTATTTTTTTTTATTGATAAGAGAGGAACAAATTCGTGAAGAGAGATAATGAAATACTAGCCACAAATAACAAAAATTAATTGAAATTGTTTAATGTATGTTTTGAAAAAGAACGAATAATTCGAGGATTTTTTTGAAATTTTAAACATAAAAATTATCCTTGAAATTAATTCTAACATGATTTTATACTTTTTTAAAATAAGATCCAAGCTGCTTTCGGACTGTGAGCAGGTAAACATTTATTTATAATTAGAGATAAGAAATTTGGAATTATGTATTATGTATTTTGAAGCAAAGCTTTTATCGGTTAAATTAAACAATAACTTTTTTTTCTTAGATCTACGAACACGAACTTTTCTTTTTTGTTTTAATATTTAATTTTGAATGAGAAATTTGTAATTTAACAAGGATTTAAATATCTAATTTAAATCAAAGTTTTTTTATTGATAAAAGTCAACAATATCTTTTTCTTAGACATACTGCACCCACCCCAGTTTCTGATAACGGAAAAGTAACAAAAATAACAAAGCTGAGATACACGTAAGTGGTAAAGAAATTTAAGAATGAGCGTATTTATAGGTGGAAAAAAAATGCTATCAATAACATATTCTTCTTGAATTTCAGTACTATGGGGCAAACTGATTCGGGTAATGAAGAAAAAAGGTACATATACATTGTATCCGATGCATTTCCAATATCTTTAAAAAAAAATTTTTTTCATAATGTAAACTTTTCCATTGGTTTTTCACTCTAACCCTAACACAGCTTAAACAAGATTTAATTTTAATTCACAGTCAATAAAATATAAAAATTTTCTAAATGATAATGGCATAATATGTTTTCAATTTTTCAATAAAATTTTCTTTTCAAGAGATTTGACGGGTTCGAGTGGTTTTATTTTGGGGATAGTCTCTGGAATCATTCTACCGATACTTGTTTTTCTGGCCATTATATTCCTCCTGAGAAGGAAAAGACAGAAAACAAATAAGAAAGGTATTCAACATACATTGTTTGCAATTAAGATAAAAAAAAACTTAGAAACGAACAGTAACCAGGCTCCCAATCTTTACCTACATGTAATTCTGTTTTTAAAGTAACATAATTCATGAAATATTAGAAGGCCGCAATTCATCCTAATTTTGTAAGGTCTTTGATTTTTACAACATTTGACAGCGGATTTTTCCGTTCTTAGCAGGGTCTTGGGTCAACAGAATATGAGTGCTTTCTTGAGTTCAGCTATGTATAAGAACCAGGCAGAAATGAAAATAAGTGATTCATGATAGTGATAGATTTTTCAAAAAATATCATATTTACATTAAGATACATCAAACTAAATACTTATTCACAGTTATGAATGGATTTCATGCATAGTTGATTAAAAAATAAATACAATATATACTGAAACAGTCAACAATATCCATTGAA